CAGTGTTTCGTTCTGCTGTGCATGGGGTCGCTATGAGTCGGAAACGACTCGACGGCACTTAACAACAACAACAACATCAACATAAATGATAACTTAAAAATCCCAATTTAGGTAAGTGACCCCGCCCCCAGTGAATTCATAACAAAGACCCCTTAGTATGGTACGAAGCAACAGTTCAGTGTCTCTCTAGTGCGGTGGACTTGTCAGAAGATCTGGGCTTGCTCCTAATTCTGCCTATTTTTGTCATACAAATTGAAGAAGTGGCTTAGTTTCCCTGGTTCTCCATTTGTTCCTAAATTGAGAGTGACACATTTTGCTCTGTCTCATAGGGTTTTTGTATATCATATATACACATACACTTTTTAAATTGTAAAGTAATCTATAAATATACATCATCATTATTTTTTTAAAAAAAGAATATGGGCTTGGTGCCCTGATTTGAACAGATAGTGATTAAAATTTTAAAATTCTTTCTGCTTTACTTTAAAATTGAGAGAAGTCCCAAGTTTGGAAATAGAATTTTGTGATAATTTGAGAGGAAATAAGTGGGTTTGAAAGAATTTATTATTTTGATGCTAGTCATTCATTTATTCATTCACTGTTATTTGAGTACCCTCTCTGTGTTTGATACTGGGCTCAGTGCAGGGATGATAAAGCCAAATAGAATTCATAGGAGCCATTCCCAGGATTGCTGTCATTGCTTTAGATGCAGTGACACTGTGCTCCCTGACTCCTGGAGAGAAAGAGTTTGACTAACCAACTGACATATAATAACATTGACAGTTTTATAGGTAATACCACTCTGCACCAGGTTTTTGACAAATGATAATTACCAAGTTAATTTGTGGATTGTTTTTAAACTTTTCATAATCTTTCTTGCTCATGGAAACAAAGATATCAGCCAGTATACCTAGTGACGTGGAAATACCCTGTAAAGAAAAACACAAACAAAATACAGATTGGGAATTCATACTTCATAATTGCTTTTCATCTCATGGCCTAAAAGCAATGATCAGCTCTCCACATGAACTATTTGCTTATGATAGTGATGATGACGGTGATGATGACAATGATGACAACAAAGACACTGGAACTATTTTTAAACTGGATGCCACAAGGCTTAAAAGATCATCACATGCTGGGTGCATGGACCTAATGTCTAACATAAACATGGCTCTATTTCTACATTGGGTTGTTGATGTTATCTTGTCCATACTCCTGGGAAATCAGTTGCTGTTGAAACATTTCCAACTCGTGGTGACCCCATGTGCATCACAGTAGAACTGTGTTCCATAGGGTTTTTAATGGATGATTTTTCAGAAATAGAACACCATGCCTTGCTCTTGTGGCACCTCTGGGTTGACTCATACTGCTAACCTTTCCGTTAGCAGGCAAGCATGTTAACTGTTTGGCACTATCCAGGAGCTCTTCATAGTGTTGATTGGTCTTAAAAGGTCTAAATAATTGACCCAAAGAAGAAGCCTCATGTCACATTCCATCCATGTTGTGAAAGGCTGGCAGGCAGCAGTATTGCTGAGATGGCTCAGGGAAATGTTATAGTATGTAAAATTCTTTACTCAATGAGGAGAATATTCTTACAAAACCACATAGAATGAAACATTACATAGAAAAACAAATAATGCTTGCCAAATTATTGAATTAAGATGCTACATAAACAATTTAACTTAAGGAAAATGAAGACTCTAACAATAATTTTATATATAAGCAACTTGGCCATCTCAACTTTTCAATGGAATCAAGAAAAAGGTAAATACATAATAAAATAGAAGAATGGATAGAAATAATTATATAAATATATAGTTACAGAAAATAAACCCACTGCCATCAAGTCGATTCTGACTCAAAATAGGACAGAGTAGATCTACCCCATTGGACAAGGCTGTAAATCTTTATGGATGCAGACTTCCTCATCTTTCTCCTGTGGAGCTGCTGGTGGGCTCAAACTGCTCACCTTCTGGTTGGCAGCTGAATGCCTTCACCACTGCACCACCAGAGCTCCTTAAACAGATAGAGAAACACTAAATATATTCTAAGAGACTAGTTGTGAGTGAAGAAAGAGCAAGACACAGATGGAAGTTACTGAATATTCTTCATCTTATGTTTATGTAGAATAAATAAAAATAAGCAAAATGTACTTGATAATGATAAGCTGAATTGTATATAATGAGATAATCATCCAAAGACAAATATAGAACATGAGAAAAAAAAAGTCTACACAAATAAACAACCTTTTTGTCTGGCTGAGGAAGTGTCAAATATCCTACGATTGAGGTCCATATTAATTCTGCAGCTTCGTACCACATTCCTAGGGGGGAGAAAAAGAGGAGTGGGATAGGGGAAACATTGCTAGTATTAATGTTCTGTTTGAAAACTAAGGTCAATACAGAAAATAGATTCATTGAATCCTGTTGGAATTCAGGGCTGAATTAGTTTTTTCATACCTACTGCCATCAAGTTGATTCTGACTCATAGCAACCCCCATTGGATTTCCAAGTCACTAAATCTTTACAGAAGTAGATTGCCTCATCTTCCACAGAGCAGCTGGTGAGTTTGAACTCTTAACCTTCTGGTTAGCAGTCAGATGTGTTAGGCACCACACCACCAGGGCTCCTGTTTTTCCAACTGGTTTAATATAGATACTCTATTTCACAGGAAAGTAGTGAGTATTGTCTCCATTATTGACATCCTCTTAAATTTTCTCAACACTTCATTTGCATTTTAAGGCAAAATTAGGGTTCTATAGACTTTGCTTGAAATATTCCATGCACCAAGGAATGCATGGATAAGGTATCATACTAGGTTTAGAATAAGGTATTACCATATCCCATGAGTCAGGGCCGACTTGATGGCACACAACAACAACAACAACAACATATCCCATGAAGTCTTGCTGAACTGAGAGCTGTTGTTGTTATGTGCTGTCAAGTAGGACCCAACTCATAGCGACCCCTCCTTGGGTTTCTGAGGTGGTATCACTATGGAAGTAGATTGCCCAACCTTCCTTCGGAGGAGTGGTGGTGTAAATTTCTTTAACAAAACTCAATAGAATAAATATTTTATTTTATTAATTTTCATAAAACTGTGAAATATCAAATGTCATTCTCTTTTGGATGAGGAAACTAAAGGAAGGTAGGGATTGACAACACTTATCAGATACAGTAAGAAAATTTCACAGTAAAATCTGGTAGCCAGACTTCATAAATGAACCTTGAGAACAATGAATGTTTAATGAATGTACCTAGCTTTTGTAGAATCTGTCCTCTGATTTGTATACAGACTGACTGCACCAGAATCTTGTCACTTTCATTTCTGTACAGCCATGTACCTAAAATAAAATAGGTGCAAAAAAGAAAAGTATGTTTGACCTTGAATTATTAAAGAAGTAGCCTGATAGAATAAAACTGTTCTGACAGAAACTTCATGAATGCATGTGGTATAAATTTGAGAGACAATCTCTTCTCTACATTAAGGATAAAGTCCAAACTCTTTGTTGTAGCCCATGAGAGTGTTCAGGAATTGACTCAATGCTTGCCTGATTTTCAACTCTCTCTCCCTTGCCAATTGTGTTTTATTCACTCTGGATTCATTTGTATTTCTTGTAGTAGTATGAGATTTCCTTCATGGCCTCTGTATTTTCTGTGACCTCTGCCTGAGATCCTCTTTCCCCTGACTCCTTGAGAGGACAGCTCCATCTCCTTCTTCAGGTCTCAGTATCAATGCTGTCACCTCAAAGGCCCCCTCTGGTTAATTTACAACATTACAGTATTATCCCACTGTCTAGTGGTTCCTCGAGGAGGGTGGGAAACCCAAAACTGATTTGGATGTCAAGACTGATGACTACATATACACACACCAAAAGGGTATAAAAAGATTTATTACTCACATAATGAGGCTTTCTGGAAGAGAAGGCAGGTTTCCAAGTAATTCTATTTGACTTGAAGTAAGGGAGGGGTAAATAGTTCTGGTTTTCATTGTGGTTAGGAGGTGGGGCTAGGATAAAGATACCTGCAAATAGGGCTAATTTTTTTTTTTTTTTTTTTATCAGTTTGCCCAGATGTGGGGCAAAAGGAAGGGAAGGGTAGAACCTGAAGACTATTAGTGGTCAAACATCAAAAGTAGAGTCAGACTCTTTGTTATATCTACCCTCGTTCATCTCTATCACATTACCTTTTTAAATTTTCTTCCTACCTTTTAATCTCATTGTGTGGTGTAGTAGATGGGAAGTGTGCCTATTGTAGGATAATTATGGTAGCCATCAGTGAGGTGTGTGTAGTCAATGTTTCTATTCCAAACTGTTTCCCTGCTGGAAATGTCCACATGCTTCAAGGAGCTCAAGATCTTAAATCCACTTGTACTGAGCTTAAGTGTCTACTGTAAATTGTGTTCAACTTATTGGAAAACTTGTTCACTTAAATGCCTAGAAATGTAGAAAGGTATCTGAAGTGTGAAATTTTTAGCCAAGTATTATGCATTGTTTCCCTGCATGTATAGTTAAATGCTGAAAGGAAATCCATTTCAAAATAATTTTTATTAACGTTTTTATGTAGCAAAAGCAAATTTATCTTCCAAAAACTTTTAAATATCGTAAGTTTACTCTTCTAACTTCAATCCTTTTATTCTCCATCAATCATAATTATTTTAAAGTCTGCTACTGAGTCCCTCCTAAGGCCCATAGAGTAACTTGTTTTAACAGTTTTTTCCATTAAACAACACACTTTATAATTAAGCAGGGAAGTATTAGAAGGTTTTCTGGTTTTTTTTTTTTTTTTTTTAAATTGGAGAAAATGGGAAGACTACTTGACTAAAGCCACATCATTCATCAGTGGCAAAGCCCATCTCAGGTAATTCTGGAATCCTCTAGTGTACAGTATCTATTAAGTCATTAACAGTTCTTAAATTAGACATCTAGTAGAAACTGAAGGTAAAAGTCATAGTTAAGATATAAATGTATCTTACCTGTTGCACCATTGTTGCTTATTAGACTGCTTAAGATATACTCTGCTTTTAGAAGTTTCCCTGAAAACAAAACAAAACACCCAAATGCTACACAATTAGTTATAGACATTCTACACATTGTTCATGCTCTAAGTTTGATACATTGTACCAAAATACCATCACCTCTTGTAGAAATTTTTTATTTTAAAATTTATTATCAGTAATTATATATAAAATTGAAAAAGAGATGAAGTTTTCAGAAGTTGGTAAGGCAGAAAGGTGTGCAGTGTCTGAAATGGTAATTAAATTCTAAAAAAAGATTTTTAGTTCATCAAAGATATTCGGCTGTGCAGATCTAACAAATTGTGGGTAAATTGTGAAGAATGGGATTTCCAGAACACTTAACTGTGCTCATGAGCAACTTGTACATAGACCAAGAAAGAGGCAGTCATTAGAACAGAACAAGGAAATACTACATGGTTTAAAATCAAGAAAGGTGTGTGTCAGCATTTTATCTTTTCACTATTCTTGTTCAATCTGTATGCTGAGCAAATAATCTGAGAAGCCAGACTATATGAAGAAGAATGTACCATCAGGATTGGAGGAAGAGTCATTAACCTGCTGCTAAAGGGGCATGGAGGCAGCATCTTCTGACCACTACTAACTACACAAGAGGAAGACAGAATCACCATCAGCAGCCCATGGCCTATTCTTATGAGGCCAGACATACTGCCACCTTCCAGTCCTCTTACTAACCTTGACACTAACCATCCCTCATGTGGCATCCACCACCTCTCTGCTGAGTTTGAGAATTCTCTGCAGTAGCCACACAGAACTCACACATTATGGGGTTTATTCGGGAAGCAACAGGCTACAATTCAAGTTCAGGAATGCACACAGTTTCTCTCTCAGCAGGCCATCTCTCTCAGCTGGCCATCTCTCTCAGCCAATTGTCTCTCTCAGCCAGCTGTCTCTCTCAGCCAGCTGTCTCTCTCAGCCAGCTGTCTCTCTCAGCTGGCCATCTCAGTCTCAGTAGCACATCTCTCTCTCATCAGTGCATCTCTCTCATCTCTCTCTCTCTGCAGCACGTCTCCCTCACATCTCTCAGCAGCACGTTTCTCTCATCTTTCTCTCAGCAGCATATCTCTCTCACATCTCTCTCTCTCTCTCAGCAGTGGATCTTTCTGAGCAGTACATCTCTCTCAGGTGGCAGTCAGAGAGATATTTCTTCCACCTCTATGAGGGCTCATTTTGAGTCTGGTAGAGTGGCAAAACTAACCAACACCAACATCAGAGTTATACACACCTGAGAGAGGGTGAACTTTCTCAGAAGATTACTTCATGCTACCTGAGGTGGATGACTTTAACAAGCAGCTACTTAGTTGCTCACAGCAAAGTGGGAGTTATAAAAACTATGTCTAGAAAAGCCATACCATGTAATTTACTACACTGCACCTGTGATATGCAGATGGCACTTGCTTGCTCAAAGTGAAGAAAACTTGAAGTACTTATGGTAAAGATCAAAGATTATAGTATGGATTACACTTCAGCATAAAGAAAACAAACATCCTCACAATTGGACCAATAAACAGCAACATGATAAATGGAGAAAAGATTAGAGTCATGGATTTCATCTTACTTGGGTCCATAATTAACATTCATGGAAGCAGCAGTCAAGAAATCAAAGGTCATATTGCATTGGGCAAATCTGCTGTAGAAGACTCTTTGTTAAAGAACAAAGATGCCACTTTGAAGACTAAGGTACCCTGACCTAAGCCATGGTATTTTCAATAGTCTCATAATGCATGTGAAAGTTGGACAATCAATAAGAAAGACAAGAAAAACTGATGCACTTGAATTGTGGTGTTGGTGAAGAATATTCAACGTACCACGGACTACTAGAAGAATGCACAAATGTGTCTTGGAAGAAGTACAACTGAAATGCCTCTTAGGGATGAGAATGTCCAGACTTTGTCGCATGTACTTTGGTCATGTTGTCAGAAGAGACCAGTTCCTGGAGAAAGATGTTATGCTTGGTAAAGTAGAAGGTCAGAGAAAAAGGGGAAAACCCTCAATGAAATAGATTGATACAGTGGCTGCAATGATAGGCTCAAGCACGAATATGATTATGAAGATGGTGCAGGAATGGGGATTGTTTTGTTCTGTTGTACATAGAGTTGCTACTGGAGGACTTCTGTCAACAACAACAATTCATCCTATACAGTAGGGCTTGAGTAGTAGTGGAAATATTTGCAAAAGACTGTGTCAGCTCTCCATGGAAGCTGTTCCTAAATGGGTAGAATAGAGTTGCTCATGAACAGGACTATTTACAGGATCATTAGGAAGGTTTTTGGGATAGGGGGGAGGTGGGACAGAGATTGTCTTTTAACTTCTTATTTTTGTTGCTGCTTTATAGTAGAGCCCTGATCTATGGACAACTGTTACTTATTTAGTAAATAGAAAACAATTATTTATTATTATTACTTTTATCCATCCCTTCTTACAGTTGCCTCCAAGGCATTATGTGATCTGGCCCCTGCTATATTATTATTATTATTTTTTAAAGAATTCAATTGGACTTTATTTGACATGGAATATGATATGACTGCATGGACATAACAATCTGAAAAGACAAAGTAGAACAGACATGGTTCTATTTATAATTGACAGGAGGGCAAGTCATTAAATGAGTAACAAAATAGTTAAACTTGATAGAAGAATTCACTGTCTCTAGCAACCATATTTTTGGCATTCCCACTCTCTGTTGTCCAATGGACACATCTGCCATGTTTTGAGGCAGTGAAAGATGCAGTGGAAATAAAAAGCATAGTTACAGACTCCCCAAGCAAGGGTGTACTTGGTATACTCTTCTGAAGTAGCAGACACCTGGTTAGCTTGACATTCTATGCAAAGATCCCTCATGTGGTTCCTGCAGATGGCACAGTCATCAACCACAATACCCCAGGCCCAGAGGGCTACTGCATTCAATTTTTTCCCTTCAAAGTGCTTCTTGCTCGTGCCATTGTTGGTGACAAATGGGGTATCCACATCCTTCGCTGCCACCATTTGGGAAGCACATGGTCTGTCATCTGGTTACTGTGCCTGCACAGCTGTGCAGGCCTTGCTTCCACCCCTAAACTCCCGAGCACCTCCTCCTCCCCCCCACCCACCTCTCAATGGCAAGTGAGAGGTGGTCCCCCTGTGATTTTTTGACCTCATATCTAATTCTTCTTTCCTTCCACCACACTGTCTCTATATCACTCACAGCAGTTTCCTTGCTATTCTTTGAACTTGTTGGGCACATTCTCACATCAGGATCTTTGTACTTACAGTTATTTTAGTCTGGAATGCTTTTATTCCATATTTTTTGAGGCTTGCTCCTTTTCTCTTCAGTCTTTGCTCAGTTTTACCCATCTCATAAGGTCTCCCCTAACTACCTACTTCAAATTATTAACATAGATATATGACTTTGGCTATGGTAGATTGTATTTCCAAAGAAGGTCACAGCAATATCATCCATCCTACACCCTCTTTTGCAATGTGACTTTGCCATTTCTCCATCAAGAAGTAAAATTTAGAGTTTATTTCCTCTTTCCCTAAATCTGAACTGGCACTGTGTCCTGTTTAGATTCATGGAATGTGGCATAAGGGACACTGTGTACATTTCTAGACTGGGCCTGAAGAAATCTGAAAGTTCTATTTGAACCTCTTGAAACCAAGGCACCATGCTGTGAGGAAGCCCAAGCAGCAACATGGAGAGGCCCATGCATAGGAATCCCTTATTTGACAGTCTCAGCTGAGTTCCTAGCTGGCTACTAGTATCAAATCCCTACTGTGTGTATGAAAGCTTTTTGGATTCTCTAGTTTTTCCAGCTCCACACACTACTTAAAAGAATCATGTAGTCAAACTATGAAACTATGAGAAATAATAAATTGCTATTATTTTACATCACTACATCACTAAGTTAACAGGGGCACTCTGGTAGTGTAGTGCCTAAGACACTTGACTGTTAACCAGAAGGCTGGTGGTTCAAACCCACCAGCCACTCCTCGGAAGGCAGATGGGGCAATCTACTTCTGTAGTGATACTGCCTCGGAAACCCAAGGAGGGGTTGCTATGAGTCGGGTCCGACTCAATGGCACATAACAACAACAACAACAAGTTAACAGAATTTGGATTCTGTTAATAGCAATTGGCTATCTAAAAGTGAGATACTGCTACAACAAAAACTTAAAACATATGAAGTTAACTTAGGAACCAGGTGTCAGAGGCATGAAGGGTGGTGAGAAGACTCTTACTGAAGACTGAAAAGGCAGTGAGAGGATTGTTACTGGAGGTCTGAGAAAAAAGAATATACATCATATCATGACACAAATTTGGCAATGCTGTCTCCTATGGTAATGTGGAAAACAAAATATGACTAATGAACTTATAGTTATGGCTAAAAAGATTTCCAAGACGAATGTTGGAAATGCCAACATACACTTCTTTTAGCTACTTAGGATAAAGTACTGGAAGAAAGAGATGAACTAAAGAAGGAACTATTTTATTTTTAAGGAGAATTTAGAGGAAATATAGAAGGCCCAGAATAGTCTTTCCATTAGCAAGGTGTCAAAATAAATTAAAATTTAGGGATAAAGATCAAATCCAGGGGATTACCAGTAAAATGTGACTTTAGGGTCAAGATCAAATCAAAGGTGTGGCTGTAAACCCTTTGTTAAGACCTTGCACCCTCTGGACCAGACAAAAGCATTACTAAGAATCTTAGAGGGAGCTCTGGTAGTGTAGTGCCTAAGGCATTTGACTGCTAATCAGAAGGCTGGTGGTTCAAACCCACCAGCCACTCCTCCGAAGGAAGATTGGGCAATCTACTTTCTTAGTGATATCGCCTCGTAAACCCAAGAAGTGATCACTATAATGTTATCCCATAGAACTCTGATTTGCAGCCTGAACTCAAAGGTAATTGTAGGTGTGGTTTTGTCTAATATAATAAATTAAAAGGCTCCAAAATGTTTAAAGAAATCCTATCAACTTGTTCTAAGAAGGGCAGTGATAATTCAAAATGAAAAAAGACTCAGGCTTCCCAACTTTTTATGGGCTGGGAATAGACAGAAAAATATTCAGTGGCAAAGAGCTTTATTTTAATAAGAAAAGTCTCATGGAAAAGAAAGGATGACTCAGAGAATAAATCCAAGAGCTATGGAGAACTACTCCTTAAGAAGGGAGCCCTAATCAAGGAATATTTCCAGTCCCTGGAACAGAAGGACTTGGTGATATGTGCCTGACTAGAAGGACCTCTGGTGGCATAGTGCCTAAGACATTTGACTGCTAACCAGAAAGCTGGCAGTTCAAACCCACCAGCCATTCTGCAGAAGGAAGACTGGGCAATCTATTTCCGTAAAGATTTTCCCCCTCGGAAACCCAAAGGGGGTTACTATGAGTCAGAATCAACGCAACAGGAGTGAGTTTGAGGTTTTTTGTTTTTTTTTTTTGTATGGATATAGTAAGGAGCCCTGGTGTAACAAACATTAAATGCTTGACTACTAACTGAAAGACTGACTGTTGGAACTCATTAGGTGCTCTGCAGGCGAAAGTTGTGGCAGTCTGCTTACCAAAGATTATTGCCTTGAAAACCTTATGGGGCAGTTCTACTCTGTCCTGTAGTGACAGTATGAGTAGGACTCAACTCAATGACAATGGTTGTGTTTTTTTTGTTGTTGTTGTTGTTGTTTCTTTAATGAACATAGTGACTGCTGTATGACTCATACTTTTCCCCTTTTTGAACAGGAGTGTCTATTGCAGTTATCCTATCCCTTTCTCCCTATTGTAAGCTGCCTGTGTTGGAAGGTAGATAAATCATCTTTCAGTTTACAAGTCTCTCTGCCCCAGAATCCACACCTGAGAAGACTTATCTGATTTACCTGAACCTAGAGTCTCATCAAGAGATGAGACTTTGAGCTAGGGAGTAGAAGTATTTTGCATTTTGGAGAGATATGAATTGCTATGGCCAGAATATGACCTATGAGTACATTATTGTTATTTTACGCCACTAAGTTTTGGGGTGGTTTGTTATGAAGCAAAGTATACCTGAAACACTGCACCCCTTTCACCTTCCTGCTTACTTTTTCTCCATAGTATTTATTACCATTAGATATACGTATATTTTGATTATTTGCTTATTGACTGTCTTTCTCACTAGAATGTGGTTGCCATGACTTAGAGCTGATTTGATGGCAACAAATAACAACAATAAGGTCCTCATCAATGAAAGTAATTTTCCTGTGAGATTCTCATTTATTCTCCAGGTTATGGATCTTTCTCTGTTGCTGTTACATGCCAACAAGTAGAATCTGACTCATAATTACTTCATGTGACAGAGTACAACTGCCCCAGAGGGCTTTTTCTCAGCGGTAATTTTTATGGAAGTGATTTCTAGGTCTTTTTCCCACAAAGCAATTGGGTGGGTTTGAACCACCAACCTTTTGGTTAGCAGCCAAGTGCTTAACCGTTGCACCACTAGGAGTTTTCTCTAGAGCAGTGGTGTCGCTAAGGTTGATGTCACCCCACCTCCACCCCCTCAAGGCCAGCCAGCGGAAACCCAAACTCCTGGGTGAAGCAGTCTGGTTCTGCCCCATCCTCCATGCTATGTGACCCCATCCCTCCTGGACTCACCCCCACAGCTCCCCATAGTTCCTTGCCTCTCCCATCAACCTAGGTGGAGACACCAACCCTAGTGATGCTGCTGCTTTGGTAGCTCCCCTGTTCATGTAGTGCCGGCCTGCTCACCGTGGCCATGGACCCTGGGGTCATTTTGGTGTCATGTTCTCTGATAGAAGGGGCAGTCTACATCTCCCCCACCCACCTAGTGACATCACTGCTCTAGACTGCAGTTTTATACTTGCTCTCTTTGTGGCCACAGAAATTTTGGTCCCCAAAGAGTTTTTTCTTGATTACTTGTCTTGGTATTTCTTCCCTTTTGAGTAGGAAAACTTCAGACTCACTTTCACATTTGGCACAGATGTGGGATTTTAATTTTTGTTTCAGGATACTTTTTTTTTTCCTTCCTGTCTTTACCCCAGAGCTGGGGGCAGACAGCAGTCTTCTTTGCCACATATCAGGGCAGACTGACAGAACTGTCCAATCCCCCTTCTTGACCTATGCAGCCTCTAAAGATTCCAGCTTTATGCAAACATTTTACTCTTCTTGTCCCCAAAGAGGGATTAAAATGATAGTTCCTTCCCTTAGGACTAACCAAAAAACCAAACTATTGCCATTGAGTGGATTCTGACTCATAGTGACCCCTGTTGGGTTCTATAAATTTTTATAGAAATAGATTGTCTCATCGACCTTCCACAGAGCAGCTGGTGGATTTAAACCACCAACTTTCTGATTAGCAGCCAAATGGCTTTCCCATTATGCCAAAAAGACCTTCTGGGACTATATCTAAGTATTCTTTTGGCTATAGTGTCATGAGCAATCATGTACTCCCCTGACTTTTAGTAACTTCTGTTTCAGTTACTTCTTCTTCTTATTATTTTTAATAGCTCTTTATATACTCTTTCTACACATTTATTGCTGAAGGTTCTGCAATTGCTCAATCTTCTACTTTGATGGATTTGAAAGTCTGAGCCTTTTATCTCTAACTTTTACTCCAAAATACTTCTTAAAGGACAAAGTTATTAAAAATGTCATCAGTGTTGGTTGCTGTCAAATTGGCTTTGATTCATGGCAACCCCTATGTACAACAGAATGAAATATTATCCTGTCCTGTGCTGTCTTCACAATCGTTGGTGTGTATGTCAACTTGGCTGGGCCTGGTTGAATAGCTGGGCAGCTGGTGGTAGTTAATCCCCATGAGGAGATTGGCAATCAACTCCATGGTGGGATCTATCACAAGCAGCTGGATAGCTGCCTTTGGGTATGTGATCTGCTTCATGTATATAAGGAGAAGCCTTTGGGAATGGTCTCTAGCCTATGGCATGCTTGGGCTCTGCATGTAGCCATGTCATTGTTCAGCAGCCTGCTATGCTCTGCCCACCTTGGGGCTTAAAATGGCCTTAAGTTAATGGTCTGCCTGATGTGGTTTGGTAACATCGGGGCTGTGCCTTTTTCCTTGTCAACCGTGGGGCTTCTCAGCTTCAGCAGCCAGCGTTTGTCTGAGTAAAGAATGCCTCTAGCTCCAGTGGGCCGGGAGCAGGAGGCAGAGCTAGACCCCAAAGTTGAGGGGCTTTCACCCAGCCCCTGGAGCCTGGCACTTTGAACTTGGACTTAAAGCCTCCAAATTGTAGGAATAAACTCCTGTTTGTTAAGGCTATCCCATTTGTGGTATATTCCTGTCAGAACGGCACTAGGTAACCACAGCAGTTGGTGTGTTCAAGTCCATTGTTGTGGTCACTGTGTATTTTCAGTGCCTTCTAACCTAAGGGGATCATTTTCCAACACTACATAGGACAATATTCTGTTGTGATGCATTGGATTTTTTTTGGTGGCACTGTGCCTGAGGCATTTGACTGCTCACTAGAAGGCTGTTGGTTCAAACTCACCAGCCGTTCTGTGGAAGGAAGATGGGGCAATCTACTTCCATAATGATTTACTGCCTTGGAAACCCAGTGGGGGGTCACTAAGAGTAGGAATCAACTCGATGGCAGTGGTAATATTTGGTAATATTTGGAAGTAGTTTTCCAGGCCTTTCTTCTTAGCCTGTCCTTGTCTAGAAGCTCTGCTGAAACATGTTCACCATATTTAAATGCCAGTGGCAAAGCCCCCAGCCTCATAGAACACACCAGCCACTAAAGTGTGACAAAGTGAGATGGTTGGTGGATTAAATACAGTAACAGTAGCAAAAACCAATAAAAAATTGAGCCATCCAATGTTTTTTTTTTCCCTAGGAAATGCAACTCATCTTTTTTTTTTTTAAAAATTTTTCATTTGAAGAGTTTGTGCAACTCATTTTTTGCTCCATGATGTTTTTGGTTAATTCTTTAGTCTTTCATTCTTGGAACGATAATAGCAGGCTACACGTTTTTAAACCTAATGGTCATTGTTGTTGTTGTTGTTAGGTGCCATTGAGTCAGCTCTGAATAGTCATTAGTAATTTAAATGATACAAGGATTCTATAGAAGTGGACTTTGTTATAATACCTATATAGCAACCCATCCTCCCCTGCAAACTCCAAACTACAGCCAAATCTAGAATGTCAGCCTCATTTTTTTATTCAAAGTGATAGGGAAAAAAAAAAAAGATACTTTAAGACCTAATCAGGTACTGTACCGGTATTGTGAGTGGTAGAAAAAAAATCAACTTACTTCAGTAGGTTTGTCAGTTCTATTGTTGTCATAGTCAAGTGGCCCTACAGAAAAGAGACAGCAGACCTAAGAGAAAATAGTAGAATTCTAGTCTGCATTTAAAGGCTCTCAGTAAGAAGTATAGCAATTCAGATACCCCTGTTTGAAAGCAGCAGGACAGACTTGTTAGAAGACAAAAGCTCCAATTAGTATTTTCCACACCCTTTCACAATTTTCCCTACTGCTTTTGGCTCTGACACCCTTTATGCCAGGGCCTTTGTACTGGCAAAGAGGCGGGTGGAAGGGCATGGAGGCAGGGGTAGGGGAGGGAGGAAGGGAGGCTTGAAGAGATGGCACTCAGGGCCCTTAGGATGCTACGAGGCCTTCCCTCTGAAGTCAAGTAGCTCTGGAGAGAGGGGGAGCTGAAGACAACATTCCATACTAGCAGGAGGGAGCCTACCTGAGTTGACAGAGATTCGGGCTTGGCGAATAACCACTTGTGGGGCAATTGGTGTTTCTGGCTGCAACTTGTGGAGCCCTTTGGCAACTTGCAGGAGTTTGTTGGAGACATCGAGCCTATACAGGAACCGGTCCATTAGGAACACAATAGCTGCAGCAGTAGCACAGTCCTGAGCTTGGATGGATGCTTTCAAGGATGCCTGAAGGAAGGTCCAAAGAACATCATTAACCAGGCAGAAATAGAGCCTGGCAGAAAAAAAAGGCAGTCTGAGGACCGAGCTTCATCTTTTAGGTATTTTATTAAAAACAACAACAACAACAAATACCTACAGAAAGGGCAAAAAATACTTTGTTAGATTATTGAACCAAAAGAAAAAAAAGTAGCAGTCTGATTTAATTGTGGGATAAAAATAATATTTCATTTATTGTACTTTTCCCATTAAAGTTCTCAAATTATATAAATGATAAATGCATATTTCCTGTTGTTAAGAATTGAAACAATTCAAAGGCTTATAGAGTACAAATTAAGAGTGCCCCTTCATTTCCCAGCTCCTTAACCTTCTCCCTTTTCCTCAATTTTTCCCCTGTTCTCCCCTGATAAGGAGCTCTGGTGGTGCAGTGGTTAAAACATTAGGCCATTGAGCAAAAGGTCAGCAATTTGAACCCACCAGCCACTCTTCAGAAGAAAGATGAAGCAGTCTGCTTCGGTAAAGATTTACAACCTTGGCAACCCTATGGGGCAGTTCTACTATGTCCTTTGGGGTACCAATGAGTTGGAGCCTACTCGATGGCAGTGGGTTTGGTTTGTTTGTTTTTTTCCTCTGATAATAGTTTGAGTGAGATTCTTCCAGAACTTTGCCTTATTGAATCTTTGCCTTATCTTCCACTTCTCTCCCTCTTTCTCTCTTATTCTTTCTTTCTTTCTTCCTTCCATAAATGAGATGATACTAGACATAATATTCTGTTGCTTGTTTCCTTCAGTTATCACTTCTCTGGAAGAGATCTCTACATCAGTTCATCAAGAACACTCTATTTCCTTTATTGCCTATGCTTTAATTAAGGAGAAATATAGACGTTTTAAAAATATAAACCCTTTAAAAATTTAATTTATATTATTATGTTTAGTTAATAAATAAAAGAAGAAAACTGGGTATGAAATGAGAGTATAACACAAAGGGTGAGAAATAGAGATAAGGCAAACATTTGTGGAGAAACTACTTTTGGTCATTTAGAGTATTATGCTAAAGACATTTCAAATTATGCGGATAGTAGCATAAATGAGTTGGCCATGCCTGAAGGTACTTTCTCCTCTTGTTATACTGAATCAAGCTGAGTATTTTCTGGGCATGTTAGCTCAAGTATGAAGCACAGAAAGCATTATATGCATTGTCCATTTTTCTACCACAGAGCTACCAGGTACCAGGACTACTATAAAAAGCACTGCTTTCCTTCCCTCATCATTGTAAGTACTAACACTTGTTGGGTAAAACTATATGCCTGGCACAGTGCTACATGTGTTGCATGTTAGGCAAAACTACATACCTGACACATTGCTATGTGTGTTACATTTATTAATCCACTCATTCTCACAACAGTCTTAAGAGGCAAGTTTTATTAGAATCCCTATTTTAAAGATGGGAGCTCTGGTAGCATAATGGCTAAGACATTTGCCTGCTAACCAGACAGCTGACGGTTCAAACCC